CTCATGATCTCTCTATCTCATTCTCTCTCTCAAATAAATAAATAAAATCTTTAAAAAAATATATTATAAAAAAAAAACAAGATTTAAACAACTATAAGAAAAAGTATTTTAAAAAATCTAGCTATGATTGACTTAAAAATGAAGACATTTGGCTTGAAAAATGTGTGACTCAGAGAGGAAAACTGATTCAATATAAAAAAGTTAGAAGACACTGAAACAGAAAGTTAACTATTGCTCAGACAGCCCCCCTGGTTGGACTGGCAGAAGGCAGTCAAGGAGGGAGTAGCAGTTTTAGACAGTGAAATCCAAGGCTTAAGTCTTCACAAGGTAACAAAAATCATAGCTATCAACTTTACCCCAAAATACACTTCCACATTATAAATTTTAAAATGTTTAGCTATGTTTCTAATCATCTCACTAAATTTAAATATTATAAATCTCATTTTTAAAAACTTAATCAGTTTTTGTTTTACAAAATATTTAATTTAAATATACCTTTATCAATTATAGTAACCAGTAATTTTCCAGAAGAAAAAATATCCTAAATAAAAACAGATGCAGGAACAATAATCTCAGAAACTATATACTTTTGAAAGATGACTTTTATACTTTCATTTATTATAAACACGTAATTTTTGTTTGTAACTATAAAATAATGAATTATGTCTTGATCTTAAAACTGTACATATCTATTTTCAATCTTTATTTTCTACTTAGATTTCATTCTATAATTCTTAAGTGCCAAAAATAGTAAGGAACCTAGTATGACAATCCAATAAAAAAAAATAAAACTCCTAAACCAAAGCCTAAAATATTAGGTAATTAAAAAAAAAACCCACTATATGTTAACATAAATAACATATTTTATGAAAAATAACTATCTTTTCCTAAACAAAAATATTAGTGACCAAAGTGGGTCTGTTTTACATTTGTTCAAATTTTTAATGTATGACTTAATAAAAGAAAACTAAGGATCAGCTACCATATTTAATCTGTTAATATTGTGTTGTTTTGGATGAAGGCTATCTAGCCTCACATACATACATAGTTGCAAAAGGGAATCTTTTACAGCCTTTTCAGATAATTGTGGACATTCTCCTTTAATTCTCCATTAAAACTCAGTAACTAATAATTTCTAAAAGGCTAATTGCAACATGGAAAATATAACCATATCAATGAACTTTTCATACTGTGTTTCATTAAATCCACTGGTCTGAACAGATCTTATACCCGTGCAAGATTTTATAATTCCATGCATCGATCATTGGAATTATGAGTTTTGCAGGTTTACCAAATGCTAACACATTTCATTAAACAATTAAAAAACGCATTTGCTAATATCAACATCATTGTTATGAGAAAAGTCTATATGTACAGGAAAACTATTAGGCTTAAGATGGTGAATGCAAGTTTTCCAAGATTCTAATTTTTACTTAAAGTTTTAATTTTACCACTGGCAACCAATGCTGTCAGCTGTTTCCCTTGAATTAACAGGCTCACTTTGTTCATTTTTATTCAAGAAAATTCTACCAGGGGCGCCTGGGTGGCTCAGTCATTAAGTGTCTGCCTTCGGCTCAGGTCATGATCTCAGGGTCCTGGGATCGAGCCCCACATCGGGCTCCCCGCTCGGCGGGAAGCCTGCTTCTCCCTCTCCCACTCCCCCTGCTTGTGTTCCCTCTCTCTCTGTGCCTCTCAGTCAAATAAATAAATAAAAAATCTTTAAAAAAAAAAAGAAAATTCTACCAAATGTCTCAGTCTAAAAAACTATAGTTTGTATGCTTTTCTTTTAAGTAAAAATAGTATTACGTGACAAAAGTGTCTAATTTAGCTCACAATTCAAACTACATGAGTACTTCTCCTTGAGACAACCATCATATTTCAGTATGCTGCAAATGCTTTATGCATACTTTCCATTTTATTACTCAGGATATTAAAAAGATAGGCACTCAAAGGTTGAGATTTAATAAAATTAATAACGTTTACTGCACCATCATGGACATTTTTAAGAGGAACTAGCTTTTGGGAAGCCACGCTCCGGATGCCCCACTCTGCTCTGCTTGCTAGGCCCACCGGCTCACGCCCACCATGGCCACCATTCAGCAGCCAGTAGGAAGATGGCGCTTAGTGGAAAGCAAAGGCTTTGACGAATACGTGAAGGAAGTAGGAGTGAGAATGGCTCTGCGAAAAGTGGGTGCAATGGCCAAACCAGATTGTATCATCTCTTCTGACGACAAAAACCTCACCATAAAAACACTTTGAAGAGCACTTTGAAAACAACACAGTTTTGATGTAACCTGGGAGAGAAGTTTGAAGAAACTACAGCTGATGGCAGAAAAACTCAGACGGTCTGCAACTTCACAGACGGCGCGTTGGTTCAACATCAGGAATGGAATGGGAAGGAAAGCACAATCACAAGAAAATTGGAAAATGGGAAATTAGTGGTGGAATGCGTCATAAATAATGTCACCTGTACTCGGGTCTATGAAAAAGTAGAGTAAAAATTCCATCATCATTTTGGACAGGAATTAGCTGTGAGGATGAACAAGCACAGTTCAATGAGCAAATCTCCATACTGCTTTTTTTTTTTTCCATTACTGTGTTCAATTATCTTTATCACAAACATTTTATATGCATTTATTTTAAAGTGTTGATTTAATTAGGATCATCCCTTTGCAAACAAAATTTGTGCTAAAAAAAAAGGAACTAGCTTTTTTTTTTTCCTTTTTTTTTTTTTTTGACTGAGTGCAGTGGGAAAAACTCAATGATTACTAGCAGTTAGATGCCACTGCCTTAATTCATGCTAAGGAACCAGCAATTTTGCCACCATTGTTTCTGTATCAGCAGTGCAGGTGTCAACACAGTGAAAAAGGCAAATAACATTGTGGTACTACACGAAAATACTTTTGACATTATGAACCCCCAGGGTTCCTCAGGACACTGAGAGCCACTGGTTTGGGCAACTCAAGAAATGTAGAAACTTCACAGAACAGGAAATATTTTATAGTGCTTCTCAAAAAAGAATTCATAGTGACTAGCTTCAAACCTTCTTGCTATTCAAAAGGCAACAAGGAAGATTCAAGAGCATTCTATATAACTATATGCAACTAAAAAAAAAATAGAAACCTATAAAAGATTTTAAACATGGTCAAGTGCTAAATCCCAACCAAGAAAAAAAATTGTATAGCAAAGAGCTCAGAATTTTCTATTTGAGTCAAAACTGTGGAGGATTAGATTATACACATGGCATTTTATTAATTATGTCTTACCTTAGCTCTAGAGGAACTGACATTTTCCATATTTTCAATGCTGCAGATACAATTCTGTGAAACTTTCCGGCAAGCCACTCTGATATAGTCCCAGAAGCTACGAGGACTTTCATAACCAAACCAGGTTACTTGACCTTCAGGAGACAAATTGTAATACAAAATAAAAGAAAACTAGACTAGAAAATTCAAAATGCAAGAATAAAATTCTGAAAAATAAAAGACAGCCTAGTGTGCCATAGTGAAAAGGGCACTAACCCGAGTGGCAAAAAAGCCTTCAATCTAGTCCTGCTCTATCTTTAACTAGTTGTGCTACTGTGGACATTTATTTAATAGACCTGGATCATAGTTTTCTCAACAACAAAATCAAACAAATGAAAGAAAAAGGGACCAGACACTAAAAAAAAAAAATCTCTTGCAGTTTAATATTCCACTATTCTAAGGCAGTCTTTTAGACAGCTCCCAGAAAACCCTCCTTATGGTTCTAGTTAACCATTAATTCACATGTCAAAGGTTGCATTCTAAAGCTTCCTCTACTTAGAGAAACAGAAAAAATAATAACACTTTTCCTCCTCTTCATAAGGAAACTTCCAAGAAATGAAACAATGCTGTGGTCTATCTTCTAAGTAAACATGATGAATTAAAATGCTATGTTCACTGATCAAACATAATCTACCCAACATTCTCATCTAGAAAGTCAATAAAGTTCCTCTCTGTCATTCACCTGCTCTCTTCTAGTTGGCAACCCATGAAAAGTCTTTCAGGCATTTACCATTATAACTTTTCAGATTCGGGTAATTATGTGTCTACTCATGAACAAATGTTCTTTTGCGTGTTATCTTACATCAGTATTAATATTTCTATATGGGACTCTGAGTGGTGGTCCATGGGCACCATTTTGTACTCTGAGCATTTTTAAGTAGGATATAAGAGACATCTTAATTCTTTCTTTAGTTTTCTGGAATGATTAGTCTTACCTAGGGAAGTTGTTTAATCTTAAAGTAGAAAGATCTGCTTTTACATTTGAAGTCTGGGCTTCCTTAATTATTTATCTTAAATCTTCCTATCCCCAGTAATAGCTTCTCTGTAGCAACATCAAAAGTATTCTTGTCGGGGCGCCTGTGTGGCTCAGTCGTTAAGCGTCTGCCTTCAGCTCAGGTCATGATCCCGGGGTCCTGGGATCGAGCCCCGCATCGGGCTCCCTGCTCCGCGGGAAGTCTGCTTCTCCCTCTCCTATTCCCCCTGCTTGCATTCCCTCTCTCGCTATGTCTCTCTCTGTCAAATAAATAAATAAAATCTTTAAAAAAAAAAAAAAAGTATTGTCAACAAGCACCATTTTAGGAGTGATGTCTCAAATGACAGTACAGTGGTTTCCAACCACAGTGGCCCGTAACAATAACTGAGCTGCTTTTTAAAAAATACCTATGCCTGGACTCCATCCCAAGGTAAATAATCAAAATCTTTAAGGGTGGACCCAGGCATAGGTATTTTTTAAAAAGATCCCCTTGGTATTTCTAATAATGTATTTATGGTTAATTAACCAATAGAAACTGTACATATCATTTTGGTAACTCCTATTCATTATTCAGGACATTTTTAAAGTCCTTTTCTTCTTGTAACCCACATACGATCTCTATAGCGGGTCAATCCCTATGTGCTGACATAGCACCCTATGCTTATCTATCCTTATAACTGTTTACTTGATTATCTTACATTTTAGGTGGTATAATCAGTAAGGCAGGGATTGTGTCTTGTTCTACTTCAAATCAATCTCCAACACTTCATGCTTGGCTCAGAGTAGGCATTCAGTAAATATTTGTTAAACAAATCAACTGGTAAATCAATACAAAACATCATCTTAACTGCAAGGCACATAAAATTTGAATTTTAAAAATCTATCTTGTTATAGTGACAGTTCAATGACAATCTGGTATTAAGAAATGTGCATCCTAGATTATAAATGTCAAACATTCCGGACAAACATACCTTTGTCTTTATAAATAAAAATACAAAAGCTTCTCAAATCCTTATTCAACTCAATGTCTCTAAACTCAATGTTTCTTTAAAAATCAAATCTTACTACCTACAAATAAAAATATATAGGAATACTTATAATCTCCCTTCTTCCTCTCAATCTCTCCCTGTCACTTTCTTTTGCCCCCTCTGTTCTTTGAGTTAAAAAAGGTCCTGGTACAGTACCTTACTATAGTTTGTCTTTAGGACAATATTCATGTCATTAATTTGTTAGCCATTTGAGAGGAGGCAGGATGTCTACTGGTTAAGAATATGAGTTTTGAATCAGAGGGACTTTCTAGCTATGTGATCGTGAGCAAATGCGTTAACTTCACTCTATCAATCAGGGTTTCTTCTATGAGTTGACAATAATGGCAGTACCTACCTGATAACACTGTTGAGAGAATTAGATGAGATAATCTATGTGCAGCAATTAGTTTATAGCCTGGTACAGATGTTAACAATTATTACCACTACTATGGCTATTATCATACAAATAGTTAAGAGACCCAAGCTCCTCTGTACTGTAAACAAAGTGGGAATGGGATGCAAAATTAAAATTTCCCCCTTACTTGCTCAGAATCTAGAAAAATGCTTAAAATTTACTCCCTAATGCAACCTTTTCCCATATCAACCATTTCAAATTTACCTCCCCAAGATATTTCTAGTCTCAACTAATTTTCTTTGGCTTCTATTAATTAAGATCATTCCATAATTTAAAATGAGAGGTACAGCCAGACTTCCATCAAGAAAGGATCTTAAAGAAAGGGAACATCACAAGTTTTCTCTGTTGACTTTATTTTAAACCTTCTCATGAGTTTGACATGGTTAAGGAAAATAATTTATGAGAAGTTTTAAAATAAAGCTGTCAAAAAATCACAAAAGAATATAACAAAGCCCCATTTTGGAGGAGAGGAAACAAAGATATCAAAAAACAAAATCTAGGCTAAGGTTAACAGAGAAGGAATGGGCACTAAATCCTTGGGACTCCTGCTGTGGGTAAGGTATGCTGTCTATAAGACTTTCACCCAAGAGACCATGGCAAGATTTCCCAGATTACAAACTGAGAAACTGAACAATTAACAGAATAACATATCATAATTTGCAGGCCTTAAATAAATAAACCTGTAGTATCTTCACAACACTATTATCAACTTAGCAAACTAGATGTGAGGATGACTTGGCTTGATTATGTCTTCCTTCCTCTTCCATGTACATCATTTCCAAAGTGAAGTTCTGAATTCAAGACACTGAATTTTTCACATTCAAAAGAATCTGCTTTGATTAAGAGAAGGTGTATTCCCTTGTTAGGCCTCCAAACAAACTCTCTTGTAAATCATATATCCTAGAATTTTATGTAAATAATTAAATAATTTCTGCATCTATGAAAGAGTTAAATTTAATTAAAAATAATGGAAGCATTCAATTGGTTACTTGAGATAGTATTTGAAGATCATTTTTACTTAAGCACAGATTAATAGCAAAAGATGTACTTAGGCTATTAGTCTGTAATCACTATTCAACAGAAAAATTAAAAAACAAAGCTAAAAGCTGATCATGCCTTTTAAAATAACTATTGAAGCAATAAACAATCACTCCCCAAATATTTTCATTTCCTTTAAAAATAACCATAAAAGCAAATCACACAGCAAGGAAACAACTAGTCTATATCTTGAAGAAATTTTATTCTGGAGAAGAAACATCCTGTCACTAACAGAATTCTTTTAAAAGCTATTGATAGGTGTATAATATGCTTTCTGCTACATGTTTTCTTAGAAGTTAAATTTTACCAATGAGGAAGTTAAACAACTTTTTCAAAACTTATTGACATTCCATCAATCTGACTCTAATTCATTTTAAGGCAAAGAAAGAAAGGGTGAAAAGTTTGCTGGACTAGGGGCGCCTGGGTGGCTCAGTGGGTTAAGTGTCTGCCTTCGGCTCAGGTCATGATCCCAGGATCCTGGGATCGAGCCCCGCATCGGGCTCCCTGCCCCTCATCGGGCTCCCTGCTGAGCGGGAAGCCTCTCCCACTCCCCTGCTTGTGTTCCCTCTCTTGCTGTATCTCTCTCTGTCAAATAAATAAAATCTTAAAAAAAAAAAGTTTGCTGGACTAAAAGGTAATGTACTACTGACCAGCTATGTGATATCTTTCCCACAAAACTGTCTTATTTTCAGCACCTAAAAATGGCCTGTGATCTCTAAGGTCCAAGGTTATTTTATAATAACTCTTCTAAAAAAATTAAAAAATAAAATAAAATTACTCTTCTATATTTCTTAAGTTAGACATCTGTTTACATCATGCAATGTATCTGTGTTTTGCTTATATCTTAGTTCACAGCTGGAATGAGACCTTCTAAGAACAAGGACTAAATTTTCTAAAGTGGTTCTCTACTTAGTAGTGACTGACACATCATCTTTTGATAATATAAAATATAAATGAATCTGTTAAGTGACTTCCTTTCTCTACTCTTTGTATAAGTGCTTACCTATGTAAAGAGCAAATGAAAAACTCGTCCCCCAAGCTGAAGTTAGTGTTACAATGCATCACCTAGATGACAGTATCAAAGACTATCACCTTGGAACTGCGACTCAACTAGACAAGCAATAAAAGATAGTCCCATTGAATTTTAATTAATCACTCTGATATCACTGTAAAAGTTTTCAGATACTTAAAGGAAAATGGGTACAGGTGGATTAATTGTTGCCAATATATTAGTATTTAGATGAATTCAACTTTTAACTTTTCACTTTAAATTTTCTAACAGCAATCTTGAATTTCTTACTGCTAATTTATAAAAGTCAGTTTAATATTTTCTATTATATTTTTGCTAAGCAGAGAAAACTCCCATTTCTGCAAGAGGACAGAGTCTTTTCCTTTTTTAAAAGAAAATACTATTTTTAGTTGAGGTTCATATTTATTAGACTACCAAGCTTTGAAAGTAAAATAATGACCTTGATTAATTTTCTAAGTAAAATTTCATATTAATATTCTAGAAAAGGAATCTAAATACTTTAAAAATAACTTTAATTACATATTAAGCTGAATCTTAAGAAGTATGAGTCTAGATTAGATACTCAGTTGTACTTCTATTGCTAGCTTTGTATGTTACTTACAGGACATCTCAAGTAAATCATTTAACAACTATGAAGCACAGTTACTAATTTACAAAACATAATTATTATTCTTTGTTACTGAAAATGTCTTGTTCACTGGTAAGGAATTTATCACAAATATCTATAATATGTATCTAATACCATAAAAATGAGTCAATTCGTAATCTTTCAAGACAAAAAAAATCAAGATAACCAGGTTCACCAAAAATCTGAAAATTGAATTTGACTTAAACTTTTTATCCAGTAATTTTACCATCTTTCCAAGTAGAAGACAAAGATTTTGTCTTTTTCTTCTACCAGCTTTTTAACAAAAGGCTTAGAATACTGGCAGACTGAATTAGAGTTCCAAAGACTGAACTCCATACAGAGAACAACACATAAATGTGAGCCCTGAAGAAATCAAGCATAATCTGTTTCCGTAGTGATTAAGGCCATATATAGAGGACATAAAACAAATGAAACTGTTTAAAATGATTACTTGTGGGAATGAGGGTTGAGGAAAAGAGGCTTGTTTTTACTTTCCATCTTTTGTCTTAATTGCAATCCTTAGAAATAATGACTATATACTTCTTTTCTAATTAAAAAAATATAAAAAAGGCTAGTCCATTAAGTACAGAGCCTAGCAGTATTTTGCAGACAGGAGGAACTCAATTAAAAAGTTTTGAGTAAGTGAATAAAGGCATGCATTCTACCTGGGAGAAAGGAAACTAAGGAATATATTCCCACTAATGATTCCAGAATGGCAAAGCAGTTATTGATACTGCCCATGAATGTTTCACTGAGTGACTCTGGAAAAATCGCACATCTTCCCTAAGCCCCCAGTTTGCATGTAATACAAATATTATTATACACACTTACAAAACTGAGGAGATAACTAATAATTCTTATATTGTTAAGAGTTACAATAAAATGTAATTGCACAGATACGCATGGTTAATAAAAGTGATTAAAACCATGGGAACTTAAAGAAATATGGAGGGGGTCACATGAGAAAAGAAGGAGAGTAAATGGATTATTATATTGTGTGGGTTTACAACAAGATTTTAATTTAAAAGTTAGCATAAGCATATTTGTGCCCTCTGGATTAACAAAAGCAAAAACAGAAAGCTTTGCAAAACCCATGCAATGTACTAAAAGAGATCACTTAACTGATACAGCCCTCCCCAGTAAGTCAATTCCATGCTCCCGCGCAGCTCAGTGGCGGGAGACATCACCAGCATAGAGTACCTTGAAGAGGTATTTGGAGATGAGCCAGCCATCTGCAACTTTGGGATATCTCTTTAAAAAAAATAAACAACAACAACAACATACAGATATTTAAGAAACCTGCCATCAAGTTTACAATTGCAAACTGAATAGCCCAAATAAGATGACTACACATTATCTGGATGCAATAAACACTACATTTACCTAATAAATAAAATGAACTCAGTTAAGATGAATTATGAGGTATACTCAGCACGTAAATCAAACTGGTCCCTTGTCACCTATTCTACTGGAGAAGGGAGGGTATCTATAAGTCACAGAAACAGGCTCCCTGTTTGCTTTCAGGGCCATCATTCTTTCCCAAACATGATAGGCTGATGATGACAGGGCAAAAGGAGCAAAAGCTTGACTGAATTTGCTAGCTTTGCACCTCAGACTTTATAAGATTGGTTAGGAAAATTATTATTAAACTATATTTCTTATAAAGTTTCAACTTTAAAAATAAATAGACTTTTTTTACTGTTAACTTTTCTAAAAGTTGTAAGAAAATTCATTTTGAAGAACAGCTCTTATTTTTTGGGCCTAAGAAGAGTTAAAATTTTTATGTTTTTTTCTTTTGTGAATTATGAGAACAGCACTTAGATATCAAGTAGAATGTTCTTCAGTTTAACCAATGTTGACTGAATGCCTACTTCATGCAAAATGCTGTTTTATTTCCTACAGCTTCCAATTATTGTTTAACAACCACCATCTGGAAAAGTACTGTAAATCCTTGCTATGTTGTCTGGAAACTCCTAGTATAATTATACAGGAAAACTCCAAAGCCAAATTTCTAAAGTTGCATTCCCCAAAAATGATCTTTTCTTCTCTCATAACCAAACACTGAAATCTCCAACAGGACATGGTCCCATATACCTTGCCAATTATTTATACCCTTTCTGAAACCAAACAAAACCAACAGCACACACAGTCAGTAATGTATGACAATGAAAGGAAGAAGATGTAGATAGTTTGTGCTATTGGCTACATATATGTGTTGACCATTCAGTCTCTATCCTCCTACTTCAATGTATAACATTTTTAATGACTATTAAATTTGGAAACACATATTCAAAAGGAACTATAATTTGGTATTCTAATTGAACCCACATTAGAAGATCATGTTGTTGCTACAACTACTACAAAAATGAAAATTTCTCAGCATTGAGATGCAAATCAGAATAGAATGTTTTCATTGCAAATATTAAGACAATTCTTAATGTTTAAACCAATGTTTACTATCTCTGCCCTGACAACAAAGTTATGTATCTTATTTGTAGTCATTAATATAACCAAAAAAGTTATCAGAGTAAAAACAATGTCCACGGAAAATCTTACTTAAAAGAATTTTACTTCAAAAAATGTATTAAATAGGGGGCGCCTGGGTGGCTCAGATGATTAAGCATCTGCCTTCTGCTCAGGTCATGATCCCAGGATTCTGGGACTGAGCTCTGGGTAGGCTCTCTGCTCTGCAGGGAGCCTGCGTCTCCCTCTCCCTCGGCCTGCCTCTCTCTGTCAAATAAATAAAATCTTTAAAAAAATGTATTAAATAAGATATATCATGTCCAGATTTATGTCATGACTTAATCAATCCCCGGTATAAAGTGAGAAACAATTACTAACTCTATTATAAATCACAATTTATAGATCAGTATTTTTTTAAAGCTGTTAGTATGTTAGCCTTTATGTCTTCATTATGCAAATGGTTTTTATTTTGGCTGTAAAATACCACATGAAAATTTTAAAAAATTAAAATGCTTTCACTTATTTGTAGGCCTTAATTGCTTTAATCATAATTTAGTATCTTACTCTACATCAGTTATAAGGAACCAGGAGCATCCAGACCAAGGAACAATCCACTAGATTCCAAATTATCTGTAATTAAATTTCAACAACTCTTTTATTTTATAGATAAGAAAGCAGAGGCCCAGAGAGAGCATGCCTATATACCATCTCTGTTTGCTGTCACCTCATGCTGATCTACTCATGAGACAAGATTTGACAGAAGGAGGAGAATCAGTCAATTGGTTTTCCTGGTTGGTTATGAGTTGTCACTGACAGCCTCAGAAATAAGAAAAACAAAACAAAAAAATGAGCAGTAAACTTATAGTGTGACTGGGGTGAATATTTTTCTTATAAAATTTAAATTCTTAGCATAGTTGCTGCCAAAAAAGTAAATGAATAAGTGAACTACAAAGCTCACATTATTTCAGAGTGGCCCAAGGAATTGTTTGGAGAAAAGGGTCTCATTTGCAACTGAAATAAAATCCTTTGTTATAAAATATATTAATGTTAAGAGAAACAGTATTTTACCATTAAGCAGCGCAGAAAAACAGTTTCAACAAAACTAAGTATACCAAAGTATTTTGTTAAAAAACAAAATTCATTCAAATGTACCATTACAATCATATCATATATAGTTATAGTAGGTGTTAATTTCTGAAATTTTAGTCAAAAGAAGAATCTACTCAGAAATGGATACAATAAAAGAATGTTTAATCATACTAAAGATACAGTATTTTCTGACCCCAAATGAACTTTCAAAAACAACTGAAAATAAATCCAACTATAATCTTTTTATTAATGTGGAAATTGGCCTTCATCCAGAAAAGATCACTGACCACAAATCTGCCTTGGTGATAAGACTGAATATAATTCTAATTCATGAATATGCCATTTATTCTTCCATTTTTTTTCACGTTAGTTCTTGTTCCAACTTTAGCTTTCTATTCATTTTGATTTCTTTGATGACTAAGCTACATTAATTATCATGATTAATTTGATAAATGCAGAAGGTAAACATCTGCCTTCGCTATATTCTAATTTTTTCTCTTTCTCTGTGTATGTATTTTTCTAATAAAGTTACAGGTAGATGACTTTATTTTTAAATGATCCAAGCTGGATTCTAAAATAAGATCCTTAAATGGATTTGTAAATTGCCATTTGAAAGGCAAGTAACAAAACTGATTATAAATTATCAGATAGTAATTCGGTTGTCTTTTGGTTTTGTTGACTGTTTCCTTTGCTTTGCAAAAGCTTTTTATCTTGATGAAGTCCCAATAGTTCATTTTTGCCCTTGCTTCCCTTGCCTTTGGCGATGTTTCTAGGAAGAAGTTGCTTCGGCTGAGGTCAAAGAGGTTGCTGCCTGTGTTCTCCTTGAGGATTTTGATGGACTCCTGTCTCACATTGAGGTCTTTCAACCATTTGGAGTCTATTTTTGTGTGTGGTGTAAGGAAATGGTCCAGTTTCATTCTTCTGCATGTGGCTGTCCAATTTTCCCAACACCATTTGTTGAAGAGACTGTCTTTGTTCCATTGGACATTCTTTCCTGCTTTGTCAAAGATGAGTTGGCCATAGAGTTGAGGGTCCATTTCTGGGCTCTCTATTCTGTTCCATTGATCTATGTGTCTGTTTTTGTGCCAGTACCATGCTGTCTTGATGATGACAGCTTAGTAATAGAGCTGGAAGTCCAGAATTGTGATGCCGCCGGCTTTGCTTTTCTTTTTCAACATTCCTCTGGCTATGCGGGGTCTTTTCTGGTTCCATACAAATTTTAGGATTATTTGTTCCATTTCTTTGAAAAAAGTGGATGGTATTTTGATGGGGATTGCATTGAATGTGTAGATTGCTCTAGGTAGCATGGACATCTTCACAATATTTGTTCTTCCAATCCATGAGCATGGAACATTTTTCCATTTCTTTGTGTCTTCCTCAATTTCTTTCATGAGTATTTTATAGTTTTCTGAGTACAGATTGTAGGAAGAATTTTAATACTAGGTTATATGAATGAACAACTCTTGAAATTAGAAAATCAGAAGACATAGGAAATGAAATTATGATGCCCTCCAAAAATGACCTAAAGTTCATTAAACTGTGCAATCTCTTCCTTGTTCTATAAGAATGAGAAATATTTGAGCAATAAAAAATGTTGAATTTACATAACAAAAAATTTAATGAGACAGCAACTTTCCATTACTGAAAATAAACAAAATATAATTTAATAATTATAAGTACTGTAAGATGCTCTATGCTAATTCCACAAAAATCATCAGATCAAACTGGAAATGTCCAATTATTTTTCTGGCAGAAATGCAAAGGGCTACAAACACAGATAAATAAACATAAGAAAGAATTTCAGAGACCGTCAATTCCTCCTAAATCCAAGAATCTGTATTACCTGGTAGAATCATAAATTTCTTTACCTCTCTTATACATTAAAAAAAACTTTCAAAAATATCTGAGGCAAGGTTATCAATGGTAGATATTATTTAAGTATTTTAAAAACATTTTCTTCTGGTGGTATGCCCTTTCAGAAGTCAAATCTAGATTAGATTCCTTAATTTGAAAGGATTTGGGAAGTGAAGTTCATGTAAAATAAATCTAAAAATACTCCAGAAATAACAAAGTTGAAAACCACTAGTAAATCTCTCATTCTATAAATAAATAAATATTTAAATTGGGGGATTAAAATGACTCCTTGAAAATTCTGATTTGGTTATAAAACATAAAGACCATATATCCAAATAAGTACAAATACTGAAGACATTTTTCTTGTTCTTCACCCAGAAATGCTTACAGCAAATACCATAATTAAGAGTACTACTACAATCCTATGGCTCCAAACAGAAGCAAGTACCTAAGTATGTGGAGATTGTGTTTTAGAATTTTAAACATGCACAAAATTATATAAAATCTTATAAAACTAAGACAGGAAAAATATTTCAGATGTTTCAAAACAAATAATAAACTCTCAAGTGAAAAATGATAAGCATAAAATGAAATAATAAAATACCAATAGAAATCATGTAGAAAGACCAATATCAAGGAGAAAAAAAGAACCATTATTGATCAAAATAGGCTACATAAAAGCTAGTTCTATGTGATATAAATAGTTTTTTTCTATTTGAGGGTAATTAAGAAGACTCCCTCCACAAAATAAATAGGCAAAGGTCATAATCAGGAAATTACAAAAAAAATTTTTTTAATAAACATGAAAATATCCTTAATCTCATTTGCATATAAATGCAAATTAA